GATTAGAGTCTGCTTAGTATGACTCTTTCTACAATCTTGCTGACTACTGGAAGTTAGCTTGTCGGCCTGTAGTTTTGAGGAAACGTGTGGTTTTTTCCTGGATTTGGAATCATAATAACGTAGGCTTCCTTTCATAGGTTTGGGAAAGAGACTGTATCTGAGTATCGCATTTGTGATGTTTGTTAAAGATACAATTGCTTTCGCTGGCAGATATTTTAGACCTCTGTTTGACATTTCATCGAGACCAGATGCTTTTTTGGTGAACTATTTTTTATTAGTTCGTTTATTTCTTGTGGATATGTGTGTGTGTGTGTAGTGTGTGTGTGTGTGTGTGTGTGTGTGTGTGTGTGTGTGTGTGTGATTATCTCGTTGTTACGTTGTCTCTGTGGGCTTTTAATAATATTGACGACCAGTTTCTTTTTAATGTCTTTTATTAAAGACCAAGTAAACTTGATATAATACATGATTATATCTAATGAGCCATCTTTTACCCTCGCCTGTCCGCTGTCCATTATATCTTGATTAAAAATTCTGACTCGTTACCTGACTTTGACTGTTTGTGTTCGTATCATCTATGTTGTAACCTTTGACTATCATCTTCTCCAACTTGGGACCTGGAACTTCATTTCTATACCTTGAATGATTTGAATTGTGACTCTTGTAACTACTATTTTTGGTAAAAAATTCGGACCTGGACCATCTGTATTCGTCTCTACTTTGTATACCACTGCTTCTGAATTTTTATTTAACTGTTGTGCTTGCATTTGAGTTGTAATTATATTTGAGCAGTTTGTAATACCGTTTCCTGTCTTCAGATCTACTTATTGCAATAGTTTTTTGCTTAAATTGAATGGTATTAGGATTTAAACCAATAATGAACATGTCACATACCAAACTTTCTTTTAAAATTCCTAATTCACATGTTAAACTCAAATTCTTTAGACTAGTCATGAAATCTTCAATGGTTTCACCATCTTTCTGTACTCTAGTAAGAAACTAATGTCTTGCTACTGTTAAATTTTTCTTCAGGTTACAGTATTTTCAAATTTTCCTACAACTTCTTGAAATGTTACAGTATCCATGTTAACCCTCAAATGACTTGTAAATATGTTCTTGCATCTGTACCAATGTAGTGGCAATAATAAAGCTACTTTTTCTCGCATCGTTTTCTTCCTCTAAATCTGTGGCCCTTAAAAATATTTTGAAATTTATGCTCCACTCTCCCCCAGTTGTGTGCCAAATTTCCTTGCATTGACAATGGTTGGATTTCATTTCCTATTACGTTACTTTTTATTTTTACAACGACAGGTTGATTCTGCTTTATAGAATCTTGTTCCGACATGGTTGAACTTTATCTTTTGACGTTTTTAATTAAATTTCTTTTAAAATCAACCACACCACCACGTACTGTTAGACCATGTTTCTACTTTTGTATAACTATTATAATACTCGTTGCTATAATCTAACCTGAATGTTTACTTCTGACGCCATGTTACGTTGTCTCTGTGGGCTTTTAATAATATTGACAACCAGTTTCTATTTAATATCTTTTATTAAAAGATCACAGAGACAACGTAACACTCGTCTGCTTCTTTGGGCATTTCTTGGTGTTCTTCAACTTTTTCGATGAAGTCTACGTCTTCGTCTTGATCATAATTTACTGTATACTCTCTCGAGATAGAGTATTCTTTATCACCTCGGCTTTTTCTTTAATGGTGTAGACGATGCCATTTTCTCCATGTAATGGAGGAATGGGTGTTCTATCGTTCCATAATGTTCTTTAAAGTTTCCAAATATTTTGCATATTTGGACCATGTTCATCCATTACTTCCACCTTCGGCTTCTGTGTTCTGCCAATGCTGTTTTCACTTCTCTGTTAAGACGGTTTACTCTGTTTTTGTCTTTCTGGTTTCTTGTTCTTTTGGCTTTCTTTTTGGCTCTGCTTTTTCGCTAATCATGTCGTTTGTTGCCTAGTTTATATCTCTAAACCTTTTCATGTGTATTTCTAACTCTTCCTCAGTAGTGCTTTTTCTTAGAGCTTCTTGGATAACATTTTCGATCTCTAGGACTTTTTCTTCTATTTCTTGTGGATTTTTGATCAATGGGATGTTGTTGATTCCTCGCAAGTTTTTTGTAGTTTGACCGCTTTATTTTTTTTATTTTTCTTGTTCCTATTTCTGGTAATATGGGGTTGTGATCTGCTGATCCTTCATTTAATGTCTGGGTATATGTCTTTAGTCCTAGGTTATTAGGCATACTACCACACAATAATAAACAATCAGAATGTCCACTCTCAGATGCCGCCTTTGAAGTTTTTCAGCACGCGCGCCATGTTTTAGAAGGAAACACATAACACAGACATATGATTTGTGAGGGTTATGTAATGTGTTTATATTTATGTTTAATTATATTATATTTATGTTATTATATGTTAACAATGTTAATATAATTTATAGTATGTCTTATGATTGCACGTAAGTCAATTAAACCGGGTTAAAGTTTTTCTATGTACACTCACATAAAACAATAACTGGATTCCCTCTAACACATTGGCGGAACGTCTGCGCGAAGGAGATGTGCGTACTTAATTTTCCATGGAGAGTGGGCATTCTGATTGTTTATTATTCTGTGCTACTACTATGTCTAGATGGATGGGTTGAGCATCTCCTTGGAAATGGGTTGGCTCGATGGGCCCTTTTACCATGGTATGGTATCATCGTTGGTTGCTAGATAGTTGTTTAGTAGTCTTTTTTCCATTTCTATTGGCGTAGGCTCGTATGCGATTCCAAGTTTGGGGATCTTAGCGTTCTATATACTAGGTTCTTGAACTCCCGTCAAGTGGAAGCATAGAGCATCAGTGTGAACAACGGCGCCATACCGGGTTCTAGTGTTTGCGCGTAGAGGCGCTTCACCTCACATATCCGTAAAGACTTTCGGCTCCTTATTTTCTTAACTCGTCCATGCATCGGGAGTCTTCTCCAAGTGCTGTATGCTGGGGGTGTACAGATACGAAAACGCTTATTATTCGTTTTGCCTTGGGGATTATCCAGCCTCTAGGGCATCTTTAGCAATACTGAGAGTTTATGTTTTTCGGAGTTGTGTGACCGAGTCCCAATCCCCTAAACCTCCACGTTCTGGAACTTTATATTTCATTTATCTACACTGCACCTCCTTTTTGTTTGGCTCAGAGTGTGAAGTACATGGGCCAAAAAGCCAAACAGAGGTTGAGCAAGCTGAAATGAATTTGTCTTGTGCGCTTATTTTCAGTATTCCTCATAGGCGAATATCGTCCTTCTGTACCATCCGGCTTTCAGCCTTCTGACACATCTCCAAGATATCGTAAAGTTTTTCCACAATTTCAATCGGCAATGTTATTGAATGGTGAATAGGCGTGTTGTTTCTTTGCATATATTCTCATGGATATTGGTTAAGACGCAAATATTGATTTTTCAAACAAAGAAAGCCGACTTTTATTGGCTTCAGTGGAAAGGTGTTTCTCAATTGGGTCCAGCCACATCTATGGAATCCTTTGACCGTATACAGGCAGATATCCGTCGGGCGTATCTATAGATCGCCTTAGGCGTGTGGGTTAACGTCGCATTGATGTACGGCCTTGCTTGTGTCAGAGTCCTAGTTATGGAGGAGAACATAGTCTAGAGCTATGTTAAAAAGAAACGGAGAAAGCACGCATCCCTGTCCTGACTCCATAAGTACGTCAAAATGCGTCACTGTTGATCCCATTGTGTGTCACGCTGCATTTCGCTTCAGTTACAGTGACTTTATAATGGAAATTATTTTATGCGGGATGTTTCGTAGCTCTAAAATTTTCCATATCGCATCATGAGATAAGCTGTCAAAAGCACGCTCGAAATCAACAAAAACCAATGTACAGATGGTGTGTTCCATTCAACCGATTGGTTCCATTATTAGCCTCCACAGTATTAATGTGGTCTATGCAGGAGGATTCTGGTCTAAAGCCTACGTGATTAGCTCGAAATTCAACCTTGTTGTTAATCTTTTAAGTATGATGGTACGTGAAGATTTTATTTATGGCGGTAAGCAAGGTTATTCCTTTCCAATTTTGCATAGTGTGAGTTGCCCTTTTTGGAAGCTTAGTAATGATGCCTTTGTTTTCCAGCCCGCGGAATGCGGTATTGTGTCCCACACCGTCTCGATTAGGGGAGCAAAAGTTCAGCAGTTAGACGCGGATCAGTTTTAAGTATTTCGGCAGCAAATGTTATCGATTCCCGGAGACGTTTTATTTTTCAGAGATTTTATAGCTGTTATTATCTCTGTTTTGGAAGGGGCGTCGCAAGATATACGCAAGTCTATGATGTCTGTGGATTTTGCGACAATTTCATCTGCGTTAATCCCTGGTCGTGCCTAGACATCTCCTGAAAATGCGCTTTCCATCTCTGATCTTGCGTTTAGGTCTTCTATTATTATGGACGGTTCTTATATATTCAGGAACTGCGTTTACATCATTGTTTACTCCACATTGTTCATTAAATTTCATCTGCTAACAAGTTTACCTAATCTTGAATTTTTAGTTTAAATTTAAAATCTTATAACTTTTTTTGTCTTCGCTATTTTTTGTCATATCTCTCAGCAGCGTATTCTAACTTCAGCCCTCTAATAGTGTTAAAAGTTATTTCAAACGTATAATTTGTATCTTAACTACATCACTATATATTCATTTGTGTCACAGATGATCATAAGAAAGTTATGATCGTAATATGTGCTTTGTGTGGCTAAAACCTATAAAGTTTCGAATTAAGTAAATAAAACGATTCAAACATCAGCCTTTACTGACCGCTTTTATATACGTCATCGTATATTGAAAAGGGAATCCATATTTTAAAACTGAAGATACAACTATAATTGTCTTTAAAACTGCTGTAACTACTGAAGAAGTATCTTAGATACTAACATTTTTATTTATTACATAATTTTAAAAACTAATTTCATTATATAAAATAAAGTAAATAGTATATAGTTACCTGTGGCATATATCCAACCCTGGGTCCAGGTACTCCGCTACCAACTTCCCCAGGTTTTCCACCCAAAACCCAAATTTCTCCTCCATCTGTTTTCTTTCGGCCTACTATACTGCTTAATAATGTAGTTTTTCCGCATCCACTCGCTCCCAAAAGACCATATCTAAAAAAGGTTTTCTTAGTAAGAAAATATTTTATGTCGTACCTTTCCCTCCACCCTTTCAAATGTGTATCGAAATATCTCGCAACAAAAAAAAATATAATAAAATATGTGTATAAGACGAAATGCAACGGTATACGTATTTTTGACTATTGGTTGTCTTAGTTAGAAAAGGAACATGTGAACTAAGAGCCAAAGATAGATAATTTAAATCCATCACAAAGAGTAATAGTGGTTGTACCCGAAGGGTTTTTTATGAAATTTTCTTAGTACAAGCTCGCTTGCTACCATTGCAATTTCACCCTCTATGTTTTAGGGTAAATAGTAAGATGGGACGCGGTTAATGAGAACGCGGACTGCATTCGGAAATACCTGATCCTACGATAAATTTTTGAGACAGAGTCGTCCTGTAGTAGGTAGCCATTCCTCTGCCAGTGACCTACAGGTAGAGGTCACCGACATGTACTCTTAAAAGGCGTCCTTCACGGACTGTATTTTTCAGTACATCCAAGACGTTGTTTTTGTTTGGTTTGTGATCTAGTACTTCCAAATTCGAAGTACCGTAATTGAATTTGTTTTGAATAATATTGTCAATTTCTTAAATATATAATCCTAGTAGGTACGTTCAAACTTACTCAACTGGTTAAAATTTGTGCGCTTTTTCTGCAGCCACATTCTTCTTCTTCTTAGCCTTCTGTCGTCCATGTTTGGACATAGGCCTCTCCCAACTGCTTCCATCGGTCTCTATCCTGAGCAACATATTTCCAATTTGTTCCGGCTATTCTTTTAATGTCAACAACCTATCTCATCTGTGGTCTTCCTCTTGGTCGTTTACTTTCGTAAGGTCTCCAATGTTGTATTGTAGTATTCCAACGTTGGTCTTTCTGTCTAGCAGTGTGGCCCGCGAAGCCCCATTTAAGTTTGGCAATTTTTGTTGTTATGTCCTCGACTTTTGTTTTGGATCTTACCCAGTCGTTCCTCTTTTTATCTGACAGTCGTATACCTAACATTGCTCTTTCCATTGTTCTTTCTGTTGTGGCTAGTTTATTCATGTTTGCCTTGGTTAGGGTCCAGGTTTGAGATCCATATGTCATGATAGGAAGGATGCATTGGTTGAACACTTTGCTCCCTCAAGTATTGGGTTATTTTGCGGTTCTTAAGTATCCAACTAAGTTTTCCAAATCCTGCCCATGCTAGTCTTGCTCTTCTAGTAATTTCCGCACTTTGGTTCTCTTTGTCAAGTTTCAGGATTTGGCCTAGGTAGATATATTCCTGGATTTGTTCTATCTCACCGCCGTTTATAGTTATATGTCTGGGGTCTTCTGTGTTTGTCATTATTTTTGTTTTTTTCATATTCATTTTTAGGCCGAAGTATTGGGAGCTGGATGCTAGTTCCCCCAACATAATTTGCAGTTCCTCGAATGTGCTCGCTATAACGACTATGTCGTCAGCGAATCTGAGGTGGTTTAACTTGTTGCCATTAACGTTAATGCCATAGGTTGACCAATTTGTAGTTTTAAAGACGTTTTCTAGGGCTAGGTTGAAAAGCTTTGGCGATATTACGTCTCCTTGTCTCACTCCTCTCTTAATAGGGATGGGATTTGTTTTTTCGTCTAGTTGTACTATCTATAGTTGCATTTTCATATATATATATATATATATATATATATAATATATATATATATATTCTGTATTAGTTGCCTATATCTCAAGTCTATTCTACAATTATTAATAGCTTGTTCTATGGCCCACATCTCGATACTATCAAACGCCTTTTCATAGTCGACGAAGGCAAGAAATACGGGTAGTTGGTATTCATTTGCCTTCTCTATCAATGTTCTCATTGTCAACAGATGGTCTGATGTTCTATATCCTTTGCGGAAGGCAGCCTGTTCAACCGGTTGGTAATTATCCATTTTGTAGGTTAACCGGTTATTAATAATTCTCATAAATAGTTTCTATACTTGACTGAGCAACGATATAGGTATATAATTCTGTAGATTACATTTGTCCCCTTTTTTGTGTAAGAGTATTACTAGACTCTCGTTCCAGACTTTAGGGGTCTCTATTATGGAGACATCCATTAAATAGCTCTATTAGTTCATGGATTGTTAATGTCTTGCTTGTTTTCAAGAGCTCGGCAATTATACCGTCGTGTCCTGGAGCTTTAATATTTTTTAGTTCTTTTAAAGCTCTTTCTATTACGAAATAGAAAGATCAGCCATATTATGTACAATGATTTAACGCATGTAAAAGCAGTAAACAATTTTTTATATGACGGCATTACCAAAACTCAAAACGGCACTACCATATATCTCCGTTGTTATTAGTCAGATCGTGACGTGTAAGGTATCGTCGGAAGGAAAGGGAGTAAAGAATACTTAACATAGAAAACAAACGCAAGGACATTACCAAAACGGCATTACACCATATCTTCGTTGTTATTGCTCCGATCATGACGTCAGGAGGGCTTTGCGATGCCATCATTGGTCAGAGTCTAGTACGAAGACGCTAATGGTCTCGAAACACGAGGATACGTAGGCTCAAGTTCCGATAGTCGCAATCTTTGGAAACTATCACGATCCGAAGATACTCGATATCTTGAGGGCCTTCCAATGTCACCATTGATCATGGGGCGTGGTCTCGAGACACAATCTTCGGAAACGATCGCAATCCGACGTCACGAGGGCGTTGCTGTGCCACCATGGGTTAACGACATGGTCTTGAGGCACGAGGATATGTAAGCTAACATTCCGACACGAACCGCCACCTTAAAAAATGATCACGACCCAAAGATACCCGACAAAACCCGATTTTGATGCCAAAACGAACCTTGCTTATCTACATCGTTATTTCACTTAATTAATAAATTGTAGTGATTCTAATAAACAGTAGTGAAGTAATTCCTAAATCATGTTAGCTGTTTTTACCAAAAAATTCACGAACAAATATAAACGAGTTTACGCTTAGAATTTAATGTTCGCTTGTGTTGTTCGTAGTGGTTTTAAAGTCTTGTATTCATTTGACAACATTAAGTGTATATTTATTTAATGTAGATAATCCTAATTTTACGTTTTAGAGAATACTTACATAATACCCCTTTCCACTTTCATACATATTCCAGTCAAGACTTCCTTTTGCCCATATCTTTTCACTACTCTATCAACAAAGACAGCATAGTCGTCGTGCATTTTCTACAAAAAATTGCTACTATTAATAAAAATTATTATAAATAAAAATTATATAAAAACAAAACAACTTATAGTATACAAATATTTCATATTTTTAAAAAATATATTTTAAAATGCTTTAATATAAAGGGTGTTAGATTTAAAAAAAAAACAAGGTTTTTAACACTTTGTTTTGTTGTGAATCAGTTGTGAATATACATATTATTTAATAATTACAATTATTCAATAACAGTTACCGATTTGATAGTATCAATATTTCAACTTACGATGATCATTTTTATTAAACACTTTATAATGATTTATTACTCTCTCATTCTCGCTCGTTTTCTCTCCTCATCTCACCCCCTCTCTCAATACCAAATAAAGTTTCCAATCTTGGAGCTTCTTACAAAAAATAATTAGTTTCGTAAGTTGTTTAACAAATAACATTATAAATATAATTGCCCATCAATGTAATCATACTATGAATAATAGTTATAATGACAATGCATATTAAATTATAATAATCTTTAATACACCTGTTAAAAAGTGCAGCTAAGAAGTCATTAGAAAGAACGTGAGAAGAAAACCTTGAATTAAAAAAAAATCACTGTATAGAAAATGCAACAATAATTATATTTATAATTGTTGATAGATTTTATTGTTTAAACCGATCGTGACAGAGCTAAATTGATATTAAATGCTAGTGTAGCTTGAAATTGACGGTTAATGCAAAACAATTTCTGTAACAAAGTGAAGTAATTGGTTATATCCTATCTTTTGTAATTTCATAATTAGCATCATTAGTAGCTCTAGTAGAGAGTTTAAAACGTTAAATTAACTTTTATTTGGAAATGATTTACACTAACTGCTTTGAGATTATCGACAATGGTACAAATAATATCATTATTCTCCATACAAGTATATGAACAATTTCTCTTATTTTAATATTTCGATAATGTGGAGTAAATACGAACTTTTAAAGTTTATTTTGTTACTAACTAAGTTAGTAACAAAATAAATCTCCATACAAGTGGAGACTCAGACTTGGTACGTCTGTGTATCTCCTAAAAATTTTCGCACGCATCTGGAAGTCGAAAGTAGCACAGCTTTCTGCATGATCTTATATAGATGTTCAGCTTTTTTATGTTTTCTAAGGGGTTCTTCGGAATGACTGAAGGTAGAAAGAATAATGGGTATCGTCTGGGTACTTTCCATTCTCCATTGTCTCCTTATTTGTATTTCCATATCTCTGTACTTGGCGATCTTTTCGTTGTACTTAACCTGCAGATTATTGTTGTTAGGTATCGCCACATCGATTATTGTTGTTTGTCTGTTGTAGTTGTCATTCTCAAGCATACTCTCAGGAACATATTGATAATATGGGAGATGGTTTGTTTGTAGTAGTCCCAGTTTAAAAGGTATCTCTTGTGGAGGATCTTCCTTACTGAGTCATGCAATTCCTTATATTCAGTTGCAGCAAATGCCTGTAAGATGTTGGATGGTTCCTTATGCTTAACATCCATATCTGCAATTGTAGTTTTGGACCTGAGGGTCTTTGACAATATATTTCAGGTAATGTTTGGTTGGTATAACCTGATTCTGAATGGTAAGTAATGAACCTTCTATTTCAGGAAACATCTTTTCTGCTGTCAACCAATAGTTCGACGCTATATTTTAGACATAGTCCTGACTGACTACATTCGAATGTCGCCCGTGCAGAGGTTTACCTATTCAAATGCGCATTTTTTCGTTCTTAGTAAGATGGTTTATGCGCATTTCTTGTTCCCTCAGTTAAATTGGTATTGTGTCATCTACTACACAAATCGCGCGATGAAGAGTAGGGTAAACTGTGCAAATACCGGTCAGTGGGTAATGGCGGTCTTCCCGATTGTGCGAAATCCATTCAATCTGGCAACCTCCTATAATTGCCAACGTGTCGCTACACTACTCTGTATTCAGATTGCTGACGAGCGTTGAGTTGTAACAAACCATTGTCATAGAAATATTATTAACCTGTTTTCAGTGTTTTCGATCTTATTTTTATGCTGAGTAATATAAGGTCTTAATTCATTTTTATTCACTTGTAGATCTTAAAATTGGTTACAATTGATTATAATGACGTTAGCTACCTATTTCTTTTTTAAAGATCATATTTTAATACATGTTTACGAGTAAAAAATTCTAAGAAAAAAAATGCCAACAGGAGGCAATGCCGGTCAGTTGACCGGTATTACCCCCATGCTATAATTTATACCCTATACTATTAATCCTTAGGGATTAATCCATCCATTTTTCGACATTGCAAGAAAGAATAAAAAATAAAAATCTTCAAGGTGTCTCATTAGGTGGTAGAAAATCAGTATTTTCTGCCGAACAAGAAGCTAAAATAGCCACACAAAAAAAATATTTAGCTTACTTTTTTAAGGCGTAACAGCAATAAAAACTGAGAAAATTAGCATTTGGTTTTAGAAGATAATTTTTCTTGTAATAAAACACCTTTTTCTTGTAATTGGCATTACAAGAAAAAGGTGTTTGATTCTAGTTCTTTGGAATCGGATATTGATATACCATGTGATAACAGTGACGATGCATATGAAGATAGATGCCTGGTTTACAGCGAGTTTGGCAAAAACAGTGAATTGTGGTATATATTTACCGTTTGCTCAGGATGGGCTTATTCAGAGTACAGTGGATGGGATTCTGCAGAGAGTTATACCTGCGATGACTGTCAACTATTTTTACATTAAAATACATATTTTTGTTATTTTTTGTTTGTTTTGTAATAAAAAATATTTTTTCACCTTTCTTACTGATTTACTTGAATTATGACCCATTAAGCCACATTCGTTAATCGTTTTATAACAAAAAAATGTTAAATAGATATTGATTTTTATTTTAATAATAACACAAACAAATTGACTTGCGTTACCCACATTCATGACCGGTATTGTCCATGTATGGTGACAATACCGGTCAAACATACTTTTTTATGTTTTGTCTCTGTCAAAGACAAAAATTTTATATTTTTGAAATTAAATGTATCTTGCAATAAGTTAAAACCCCAAATTACGGATTGACGGCTTAAAATTTGATTCACAAAGTTTTACTTTTTTTTATATTAAATTTTCTTCTTAGGTGACCGCGATTTGCACACTTTACCCTAGATGTCTTCGCCTCTTAAAATTAGTAATGTGGTTTTTCTAATTGTTGGCTTATATCCATAAGTCCTCGTCCTCCTAAATACCGTGGTAATGTCGTTCTTTCTACTGCACTTCGAGGATGGTGTTTTTATGTCTTTGTGAGGTGTGTTCGTACTTTTCGCTGAAGACTTTCTATATCCATTTTAGTCCACTTGATAATCCCAAATGAGTAATCGCAGAAAATGCGTAGGTGTTTAATGCCTTAAACAAATTTTTACTATTAAGTTGTGAACGGAGAAGCTGTTTTACCCTTCGTATGGACTCTGATGCTTTACTCCTAAATATTTATTCATGTCATTTTTGCCCATAGCCTCGATGTTTTGACCATTTTGCATACTGATATCATTTGAAAAAGTTTCTACAGTTTTTAGCATTTGATCTAAGTGATTTCGAGTTTACAACAGATGATTAAGCTTCGCCACTACAGTGTTGTTGTTTTTAGTGCGAAAACCTAAGTCAGTGGAGTTCAATATAGTTCAATGAATTCATTATCCCAGAGCCAGAACCACAATGGACTCAGCGAGTCTCCTTGGAATAGACCGCGGTTAATTGTGATATTTTCCGTTTTGATATTGTTTTCTCCAGGTATTTGGAGGTGAATTTTAGTCTTCAAATATGTCATTAAATGTTTTAAGAAGGTCATTACATTATCATCGACTTTAATATATTCTTAATATATCTTCCAGCCATTCATGCAGCACTGAGTCAAAGGCTTTCTTATAGTCAATAAAGGCAGTGAAGAGGTTACTTTTTTTGGTGTATGCCTGGTTAGAAATAACTGAGTCGATAATAAGTTGTTCTTTTCATCTCATTTGAACCCTTAGCGCATCCTTTCTGTTGAGGTTCTATGATGTTGTTTAGGGCGCAGTGTTGGTAGATACGCTGAGCTACACAGGATGTGACCAATTTATACAGAGTTGAATGACAAGTAATTGGGCGGTACTTGGCTGGATCTTGGGTATTATTTTGAACCTTCGGTATTAAATAAGTTATTCCCTGAGTTAGGAATGATGGTATTTCCTGCGGATTAGAAATATCACGATTAATTAGTGTTGATAAGCACTCCAGAACTTCTTAAGCCAGAATTGTGAACTCCGTCTGGTCCAGGAGATTTCCAGTTATGAAGCTTTTTGATGATATTAGAGATTCCTTCTGTGGTGAAGAATTCACTCCGTCTGGTCCAGGAGATTTTCAGTTATGAAGCTGTTTGATGACATTAAAGACTTCTTCTGTGATGAAGGGTTCACAGACAGTTGGACGGTAGTGTTTACAGCTGTGCGTCGTATCTTCTATCCATTCAGCATTGGTGTTAAGAGCAGCTGGTGTGGAAAGTTGATTTCGCCAAAATTCCTGAATTTCTTCTTGGCTTGGGTATGATTTATTGACACTTTCTACAGTGTAATTAAGTTTCCAATAGTACGTCTTCTCGGCATAAAACGCATTGTCACATTTCCGGCTGTTACTAACTTTGTACCTCCTTAGTTGTCCTGAATGAACGGAGAGTTTTTGTTTTAATGTATCCAGGCACTGTTGGGTTGTGTTGTTTTCTATCACATATTATTTGATCAGCTCTTTAAATGACTTTTCTAGTTATTATTTCTCGTATTGCTCAATTATTCAAATATTTAAAAAAATGATGTATCAGAATGAATCGGCAGTTAACGTGTTAAACAATATATAATAAATATTTCTTTTTGTAGATTTTTGCCTGTATTTGTGGATTAAATCACTTATTATTCAACATTATACTATTAAGACATCGATTTGCCTTGCCATTTTCTGTCAAAATTCGTCCTCCACGTCACTTTCCTAAAATTTCCC